TTCCTTCCTTCCTTCCTTCCTTCCTTCCTTCCTTCCTTCCTTCCTTCCTTCCTTCCTTCCTTCCTTCCTTCCTTCTTTTCCTCTATAGAGAAATCCTGAGGAACCATTGACCCTTCAGGAGCTAGATACAAGCAGTGGCGTACTCTTGCCCTATTATGATCCAGACACCAACGTGGTTTACCTGACTGGCAAGGTGAGTCCTGAGTGAAGGGGAAATGCTGGCAATGCCAAATCTAGAAGCAACATTTTGGATGAGCTCAGCGGGGGAAGTTCTTTAACAAGCAGAAATTAAAAGAGCCTCAACATCCACTGCAGGGTGACAGCAGCATCCGGTACTTCGAGCTGACTGGCGAAGCGCCCTATGTGCACTATTTATCCATGTTTACTTCCAAGGAGTCGCAGCGAGGAGGGGGATGGATGCCCAAACGAGGGCTGGATGTCAGCAAGTGCGAGATTGCCAGGTAGAGAACGTGTGTTTTGCTCCCCTGCTTCCTGCAAGAGGTTCACAGGGATGTAACTGGTCTCCCATCCTATTTATAACCCCCCCCCCACTACACTGGTATCAAGTGAAGGTGACAAATAGCAACAAAAGGTACAAAACCTCTGCAAGCTTCATCCCTGAATAGAAACCTGACACTTTCTTATATTCTGTTGCAATCCCAACACTCAGATTCCTTGGGCCAAGCATAAATAATACCTGGGACTTTTTGTTTTTGTTTTAGAGGAGACCCTTCCAAAGATTTTTTTCTCTCTCCTTCCTAGAATCATTTTTTATTCCTTCTAGATTTTACAAACTACATGAGAGGAAATGTGAACCCATTGGTATGACGGTGCCCCGGAAGGTAAGAGTGGACCGACCCTTTACGGTCGGTAGGAAAAGGCATTGGGAGAACAACTGAAAAACAGTTCATAGCAGGGAAGGAAAAGGGCTGAGGCTCGTTTCTCCTTGAGCCTAAGGAACCATCTCTCTAGAAAGCTGCATTGGCACCATTCAGCCATTTAGATGGGCATCATCTGCTTCAGGATGGCCAAGGTTGAGTTTCTTGTGGATAATTTCTTGGGGAATTGCAAACGGGCAGGGACCAACCTCCTCCTCCTCTTTTTTCCCTGTCCAGCAGCTTGCCAAGAAGATGAACTGATTGCTTTTTAAATTAGGCTGAAGGCCACAGGTTGGTCAGTGCTGCTCTGTAGCTCTCCAGAGTTTCAGGTAGAAGCCTCACCTGGATATGAAGTGTTGGAGAACAGTTGCCCCTTACAATGATTTGCTCTGCTTTTGCTTCTTCCTTATAATCAAATCTCTGCTGCAGAGGAATAACCTCGCTGCCTCCATTGTCTGGATTGTTTATCATTTTGGATACAATAAAGAGTACAGGTAGCCCTCAGCTTGTTTTACAAAGGTTGCAAAATTGGAGCATGGTCACAAGGTGACTGTCACAACTTACAGTCAAAATTGTGAGCTCAATTGTGGTAGTCAATGATGGCCGTAAAGCAGGTGGCCATGTGACTGCATCTGATTTTACAACCTTTTTTTTGCAGAAATCATTAAACCAATGTGGCAGTCATTAATGGAACATAGGGGTGGTTGTGAACCCATTGGTTGCTACGGAGCATTTTTTTGCAAGACTCGTGCTGGAGTCCATCTTCAGGGAACGTCTGGTCCCAGTGACTGACCCAGACTGGATTCTGCAACATTATCCTGGGATACATACATTCGCCTACATCTGAAAAACATTGTAAATCATGGTCATGTGACCATAGGCTATTGCAAACTGTTGTACAGGTGGCCTGGTTGCCGAGTGGCCCAAATGTCACTTGATGTGCGGGAAAGGATGTTAGAGCTTTGCATTTGGATCCTACGTAGCTTTTTCAAGGTCTTTTGTAATTTTGAATTTTTGCTAAGCGACAGGGTGTAAGTCAAGGCCTACCTGTATAGAATTACATGGCCTCAGATAATTATGGAGGAAGGAGAGATTTCTTGGGGATCTAGCAAACACAAGCTAGGAACCTTAAGGAGACAGCAGCAAAGCTGACCACTGAGAGTCACAATTGCTTGATTTACTTGGAAGAGTGCAATAGAATGGGTGCATGTGTCATGCCAAATCGTGGCTTTGTTAATGAGGGTTCATTGAGCAAATGAGAATGGCCCAGTGCACACTTAATGTGAAACTAACTTTGATAGAATGAATCAGAACTGCTGGTTCATGCAATGTGCTAAGCTCAAACTCAGAAAACATATAATGCACGGTATGTGGCTTTGTGTAAATCCAGCCATTGCAGTAAAAGGAGCCTTGATTTATGAAGCCTTCGTATTCTTGATTTAGGAATGTTGTAGTCGTAAGATGGGGAGTGGATCACCACACTAATTTTTCACAACCCAATACCATCCAAATACGTTGAATTTCAGATCTAATAATCTTCTAGGCAGCCTCTTTATTTAGTCATTGTTGGTAAAGAGTTTGCTTGTTTCTGGGACAATATAGTGCTTGGGAGCCTCTGCTAGCATCTAATCTATCACTGGATCTCCTGGGTTGATCCAGTGTGCTTTTTTCCTACTTTCGATCCAGTGACACAAATCATTTTAAATAGATTGTGGTTTTCTCAAGTCTGCAGTCCTTACAGAAATGTGGTAAATGCATCGATTCACTGAGGGAGCTCATCCGTTCCAAAATTATCAGAGTCTTGGTTTAACACATGTAACTTTAATCCCGGAATAAAAGTTGCAAAGCCACCTTCCCAATTTCTTGAGATAGCTGTAGCCATTTGCCCACTGAACAAGCAGTTTCCTTTCTGTACCTTCACAATCTTTTGGGCAATTGTTTAATCAGGTTGGACTTGGCTCTTGGAGCCTATACAGGTGGTCCCAACTTACGACAGTTTGTTTAGTGACTATTCAAAGTTACAACAGAACTGAAAAAACTGACCTATGACCATTTTTCACTTACAATTGTTGCAGCATTCCCCCGCCAGTCATGTGACCAAAATTCAGAAGCTTGGCAATTGATTCATATTTATGATGATTGCAGTGTCCTGGGATCATGTGATCACCATGCAGTCAATGGGGAAGCCAGATTCACTTAACCGTGTTACTAACTTAACACCTGTGACAAAAAAGGTTGTAAAATTGGGGGGGAAAGCTCTCTTAACATCTGTTCTGCTTAGCAATGGAAATTTTGGGTTCAATTGTGGTCATAAGTCAAGGACTACCTGGACAAAAGCTTGCCCCGTATAGAATGCTGACATTTGGGATGTGTAGTGAGAGGTTGAACTTCTGTTTTTAAATCTGGAGGGGAGAGGTTCTTCCTTGCTGTAATGCCGAGACTGTGTTTTTGTATGGTTTCTGCAGTCAGACCTGTTCCAAGAGGACCTATATCCTGACACACCTGGTCCAGATCCTGCCTTGTCCTCAGAGGAGTGGCTAGCAGGCAAGGATGCAAGCCCCATCCTCATTTCCCTCAAGGATGGCTACACTCCCCAGAAGAGCCGAGAGTTCAAAGTCAACCAGACGCTCCTGCAGGGGCCCAAGAGAAGTCAACTTCCACATGACAGGACACAGCAAGGGGTAAGGAGGAGAAAACCCAAGGTCAACCCAAGATTAGGTCTTCTGGGCTATTTGGTCTTGGATTGGCCTTGACAACCCATTGACCTTCATGGTCCACATCTTCTCCTGGAAGACCACCCAATGTTCCATACACCTTTGTGGACAGCGGGGAGGGCGTGTCTTTAACCCTGAGAGAAACATTTGCCTTTTGTGGTCCTTCAAGGCTTTGGGAAGGTATACCTGAGGACCTGACATTACTGGAACAGGTGAAGCCTAGCTTTTTAGCCTTTGCCCCTTAATAGTCTTATAAATGGGAGAATCTGGCCTAATTTTAACGATTTTGAAAAGATCCTTATTCTCTACTAATGATAGGGACATCGTGATGTTCTAGTTATGCACCCTGCAATCAAGTTTTTTTCAGGTGACATTATGCAGGAATGAAGATTTGCATAGAGTTGGTGGGGAAATTTTAGAGCAGTGATAAATGCTTTGAGTCAAAACTAGATTACTTTAAGGGAGTGATAACGCATACTTTTTCTAAATAAAATCTGCTCTTCCAGTCTTATCAGTAATTATAATAAAGTTTACCACATAATGTATCCTTTAGGGTCCAGCTTTAGATCAGCTCTCAGAGGACCTGAAACGACTGCAGGCTACTGTGTCGGAACAGGAGCGACGCATCTCAGAGCTGGAAAGGATTGTGAAGAAATAGCTTCTCTCTCTTCCTAGCCAGTCTGGTTCTTCATGAGTCACCATGGACTTCGTTTCACTGGCCTTTTAAAGCCCCTTTGATTTTTTTTTAAAAAAATGGGTGGATCCTCAGGGCATTATAAAGATTCATCCACCCTAAGCTCAGGGCAGAAACTCAGTTTGTCTGTTCCAGACAGAGCCCCTTTTCTGAGTTAACAGATTCCACCTGCAAAGATATGAAATACTTCTTCGCTTTGCCTTGGTGAAAGCATTTGGGATGATAGCCCATCTATTTACAATCTGCAGGCTTTTATCTCCTAGGCTTCCAGTTCTGGATCTTTGCTTTCTGGTTCCTGCTCTGCTTTTCCCCTTAGAAAACAAATGTTCTTTCTCTGGATTTTTTTTTAAATGCTGCATTTCCTCTTACTTAAAATTTTATTTCTGAGGGACTTTGTTTTAATAGGGCTAAAATATTTAACTGATCATCACCCAAACATTTGGATCAATAGGTATGCAATTTTAGTTAGTTGGTCAGTAACCCAACCCAAAATTGCAGGGAGCAAATCCTTTGGAAGGCAGATTCCCCACCTTTGTGAGAGGGAGGAAGGGAAATCTACCTGCTTAATAAACTATGCTTGTTTATTTGGAACAATTTTGCATCTATGTATTGAATTCAAACCGTTTCATTCATCTGAACTCATCTGAAAGTTATATAGCAGACCTTTTTTATTCAAGTTTTAAACTTGATGGATATTCTTGGGATCAATTCCCCCTTCCCGCTAGGAAGTTCTCCCCCACGTCTGGCATTGAAAGGCTCCCAATGCCTAACAGAGCTATTTAAATCCTCTTTACCACTTTATCTTCCATGGAATGGTCTACCCATCTTAGATATAGATATTTTTTTCACCCATGTATTCATCAATGATTTGTAGCCAATCCTTTAAATGTAATAGAATTAATTAATTAATTAATCCTGTTGATCTAGGTGGCCCTTCTCTTGATTAAACACGGGGCCCAATTTGAATAGTTGACCAATGGCCTGTAGTGGCTTTTCCCCTCCAAAATGAAATCAGAGTAAGGAGCAAAGTTTTCACCTCCCACGAAGGGAGGACTTTTTAACACTGGGAGGAGCCCGGAAGGATCTTTTCCAGGTAACCAACGTTTTATTAAGACATTAAAAGCTTTGGTGAGCTGCAGCTCACTTGGTAAGTGGAGTGGAGTGTTAAGACCAATTTAAAATGGAGGGAGATAGAAGGGTAGAAAAATCAAGTTGGTTATGCAGATACAGATGATACATGAGAGGTTACAAGTAGCCTATCAGTTAACAATTCTAATACATTAAAAATTTATTGCTGAGAACTGAGATTGCTTGAATGGTTTAGAATTTCTCATTCAATGGTGCTGATAAAAATTCGGTTTTTTTTTTAAAAAAAATACTTTGAGATATCTCATGGTGTCCTGGCAGGTGGAATCCTTGGTATTATTGTGTCCTTATATTGAGTTCTGATGTCAGTGCCTATTAAGCTTATGCCTTTTAATAAAATGTATTGGTTGGAAAAACTGTTACGAGACTCCTGGTTTTTGCCACCACAGACTAACCTAGTTCTCCCCCTGCAAAGGACATTTTAAGAAATGGAAAACAGGGACAGATAGTTCCCAACAAGAACTGGTTATGCTGGTTTTTTTTTTTTTGGATCATCATAAATGATATATTTTTTGATGCATCATTTGATCCCAACCAGCAGCCAACATTCAGATCAGCAAGTCTCAACACCAAACGATCAGGCAGAAAGTACAGATAGTCCTCACATAACAACCTATTTAGGATGGCAAGCAACTCTACCGCTAAATGAAACGCTACTGCCTTCCCACTAGAAAATCAGTTTCACACCTTCCACTTTTATTTGCCTTCTAACCACCCCTGCCTTTTTTAAATGCCCGCTTACTGTCTTGCATGCAATGAAAGCAACGCAACTTCACTGGCAGCCCAGTGGACACTTTACACAAACAGCTTACAGCACTCTCTTGAGATCTCTTCCTCTCCAATCTCTCTGCTCTGCCAGGGTTAGGGACAGTTGAGGGAAGCAAGCAATTTCTGGGGGCAATCTCCCCTTTGCCTGATCCTCCCATCTCCAGCAAAGAAAGATTGGAAATTGGATTTCAAGAAAACAAACTGCTATACATCAAGAATACTGCGATCACATTAATGGTGGGGAAAAGTCAGGCAAAGGAGAGATTTATACAACTGCATTGCTTCTGATATATAGAACAACAAAAGGCTTCATTTCCTTGCAATCCCTTTATCTAATCAATTTGCTCTACAAGGCGAGGGGAGAAATAAAGGTAGGCAAAGGACAACGTCTATTGACTGTAGTGTTGTTCGTATGACTGAGGGACACCATTAAAGTTGTAAATGTTGTGCAAAGTTAGTTTTTTCAACACCGTCGTAACTTTGAATGATCACTGAATGATTAAGTGAGAACTGCCTGTACTTTCATCAAAGAATCACCAGGGTGGAAACTACACACCTATCAACAGGCAGGGAAACTATTGCAAATAAACAGCAAACCTCACACTCACTGATGATGTTATCTAGCTGACTGATAAAATGTCTGCAAGCGAACAACCAAATTCATAGTATAAAGAACTCAAAAAGTGTTCATTTTCAAGATTTAAACAATGAAAATGAAGAACATTGCCTTAGTAGGAGAAGGGTACCTTTCCCCCACCCAATGCAAATCTCAATATTAAAATGGGTCTCCAAGATACGTGGTATGGGAATAAACAGATGATACAAATAGTCATCTCACAATCTTTCTCCAGTTTTTATTTTCTGCTTCATACTTTCTCAAACTTTCACAGTGTTTCTCCTGAAGCAATTCCCGCATTGCTAAATTTAGTTCACAGATGCTTCTCTTTATCATCTTGGAATTTTTGGTCTCTGTAGTATTTGCTGCTTTTGTTACTGAAGAAAAGGAGGAAGCTTGTGCCTCACTTAGCTTCTTGTTCCTTTGCCCACTGTTCAGGAGTCAGTGTTCTCTGCTCAAAGGCATGAATAAGCTTCAGTTCTTCAGATAAGAGTTCATTGACCAGTCTTAAGGAAGGCAAGACAAAAAAAGAGAAAGAATACAATTGGGAAATGGGAAATGGATATCAGGAAGAACAAATGCATTCCACCCCCATATCTTTACACTTGAATTGCTAATTGTTTCAAGAATACATTGCAATTAGTTTAGTTCACACAAGATGCCAAGCCGAACAGGCAAAGCTCACTTTGGCCTAATGCAGCCTTATCTTCTGCCTGCATTGGAGAAGCCCCTTAGCCAATAATGCATTTCTCCTAGTTCCAAGCTTTTTTTTTTTTTTTCAAATTTAAATTCAACCTCTAAGATGCATAATAAAAATAGATGGATGTTAAAAAAAACCAACCTTGCATATTTGGCTTAACCATAATTTAATTAATCATCATGATTTATTGAATTCATATGCCCCTTCCTCCAAAATAAACTCCATTATGATTTTGCAAGTAGTTCTCCACTTGCAACCATTTGTTTGGCAACCATGTGAAGTAACAATGGCACTGAAAAGTGACTTACAACAGTCTTTGGCCCATCGCAGCATCCCCACAATTACATGATCAAAATTTGGGTGCTTGACAATTGGCATGCATTTATGATGGTTGCAGCATCCTCGGTTCATATGATGAACATTAAAAAAAAAATTTTTTTATTCTTCATATGATGAACATTTTTGACCTTCCCAAATAACTTCCAACAAGCAAAGTCAATGGGAGAAATTGGATTCAATTAACAAGCGTGTTATTCACTTAAAAACTGCAGTAATTTGCCCCATTTCCAGAAAGATTTCTAAGAATGAATCTGTTCATAAATTTAAAAGCAATGCTAGCCTAAAAAGGATGGAAGTGCACTCCCATCTCTCAGGAGGAGCTCAGCTGATGGCAGGTTCATCCAGAGTTCCTTTTACAGAAAACTCTGCTTTACTAAACGTGCCCATTAGAAAGAAGAGCCAAACAGGACTTCTCAGTTAACTGAGACTGAAGCTGTGTGTCAGGTGCAAAAAACCAGAAATTGTAAGATTTTAGCATAACATAGATTTATTCAAGCCTCTACACAAGAATCTGGTCAACTAAAGTTCAGCACTTAACAACTGGTGACAGATAAAAGTCAAAGAAATTCAAGAGGGCTGGGACTTAAAGCACTTGTGGGAAAGCAAGAACTTTAAACTGATGACGTGCTTAACTCTGCCCCCAGCTCTGCCTGCTCTTCCCCTACACTGTGATGTTTGTTTATTTCAACAGACGTAATATTTTAAAAGAAACAATATTAGTTAAAACAATGCTTTACCCAAACTGGTAGAGGGTTACTTTTCTCCCACTTAGCCACTGCTGAGAACCCTCTAAATCAGGAATATCCAACCCTTGGGCCATGGACTTGTACCAGTCCATGGCCTGTTAAGAACTGGGCTGCACAAAAGATAGGCGAGCAAGTGTATACGCAGGATCTAGGTTGCACACCAAACCATACCCCTCCCATACCGGTCCGTAGAAAAATTGGCTTCCCCAAAACTAGTCCCTGGTACCAGAAAGGTTGGGGACTGCTGCTCTATATGGTGGGAGACATAAATAAATAAATAAATCATACGTGTTTCCTTTTGGCATTAGTAATAAATAGAAATGATACCATTCTGGTAATACGAACAGGTAGTCCTTGCTTAATATTAAATGAATATTCGAAGTAAGATGGTGCTGAATGAATGGTATTTATGACCAGTCTTCGTAGTTAAGGCAGTTCCAGTATCCTTGCAGTCATGTGACCAAAATTCGGGCGCTTGGCAGCCTGCCTGCATTTACAACTGCAGTGTGAGCTTCAGCTCCACCTACCTGCCTATTCTGTACCCCTTCTCTGCCCTTCTGACCACTTTACTTCACTCCATTACTCTGGACTCTACTCAGCAAGGCAGAGGACAGGGTGGCAGGGTAATCAAAAGGGCAGAGATGGGAGGAGGGGTGATAAGTGAGTGGAGACAAGCATGACTGGGCAGGAAAAGCATGAAGTCCTCACTTAATGACAGGCAGTCCTGGCCTAACAACCGCAACCAGGTATACTGGAACTAGGTGGTGCGGTCACACTAAAATTTACTCAATAACAGAAATTCTGGTCCTGGAGAGGGCAGAGCTTGCGTTGCAGCGGTACAGCATGCCATCTTTAATCTCTAAGATCGCTGCTGATATCTCCATTGCAGGACGGTCTCAACGGACCTAAACTGTCCTGAAGAGACGGTGACAGAGGAGGGCACATCCTGTCGATCCCAAGGACATCGCAAAGTCCCTGGTAGATCCAGGAGAAGCCCTTTTTTCCCCACGGTGGAGAGGCAGCCATTAAAGCTGCTGAAGCTGGGGCCGCTCCGGAACGGAAGAAAGCTGGAAAGAAAGTGTGTCAGTTTGGTGAGATAATTTTCTACTTATTTTTTTCTGGAGAGAACACCCTAAAAGACTAAAAATTAAATTTAAAAGTGAAGATAAAAGTGCTCAAGCGGTGAGATTAAGCACAAATTAAACCTGTAGGTTTTTTCTTTCTTCTTATTGGAACTTTGGATTTTGTTAAAACTTTTCAACGTTTCAACTGGACTGGTCTTTCCTTTTTAATTTTTCCTTTCAAAATAACTCTTTGGAAAAGTTTTTTTTCTCTTGTTTTTTTCTTTTTAGTAATTTTAGATTTTTTTTATTCTTTTTATTCCTGATTTTAATATTAGAGGGGAAGGGAAAGGGAAATAAGTAGCACTGCCACCTGGAGGCTTGGATACATTGTTTTTCTTTCTTGTTGATACATTTGGTGTTATATTCAAGGACTCTGTGCTTTTCATTGAAAAGATAGTGGGAAGAGCATGTAGATTGTTTGCAGGTGCTCTTCTGTGGAACTACTGATAGCTGGAGTCTGGATTTGAAATTGAAGAAAGAAGATTGAAGTGACCTTGAAAAGAGAACTGGAAATTTTGTTTTTTGATTTAGTAAAGAGCCTCGAACATATAGTGGCAGTGCTTTGCTTATTGACAGAATTGCATTTTCTCTTTCCTTTTTTTTTCTATTCCCCCCCCCCAGTTGGATTTTTATATTTGGACTTGAGTCCTTTGATGCAAGAATAAGACTACTTTTTCCCCCTCCCTCCTCCCTTTGTTTTACCTTTTTAGCAAGGGGAATATACAGATTTCTGTCTTTTTAAATTTTTTCCTATTTTTTTTTCATCCTTTTTTCATTTTATATATTTTTTTCCTTTTTTCCTACATAATTGGAACCAATTGGATTAAGGTATTCAAGTGCCTGAAGATTTTTTTCCCTTCCCTTTTTCATTTTTATCTTTTGCTTTTATTTATTTATTATTATTATTATTTTTTACTGGAGTGGC